GCAACTGGAAACCATTATACTTAAAGAAATAAGCCAGTCCCAAAAAGACAAATACCATGTTTTCCCTGATCTCTGCAACTAATAGAGTACCAAAAATGTAGTATATAGGAGTGAAATGGACATTTTGAGATTCGATGATTGTTTATAGCCATTGTCTCCACCATTGAGGAACAGTGTTTTTTCTTCTTACTGTTTGTTTAACTCTTTACTCAAGATATGGTTAATCTTATGGTATAAAGTAAACTGAAAGTAGATCATTGTAAACAGCCAGGGAATAGGAGAGCAAAAAGGAGGAAAGGTGGGAGTCTGGGCCGGAGGGAGTTTGGGGTGAGAAGTATCACTGTGTTCCTAAATCTGTATATACAAAGTACATGAAATTTGTTTACCTTAAATAATTTTTTTTAAAAATTCAACAGGCAAAAAAAATCACTACATGTTTTCCTATTTCAATTTTTTTAGTGAAAGAATAGCCGATCTATAATTATTCCTTCTTGGAGAAAGTAGCAGCTTTTATAATCACAGGAAACGGTGCTAGCGCCTACTGCCTTGTCTTAAAGCTCAGGGCGTGGCTCCTGGGGCTCAACAGAGGAGGCTTTGGAATGGAGTTGATACAAATCCAGTGAGATTGATAGGTCATTATAGGGAAGAAGAAGGAGAAGCAGCTGGGACCACACAGCTCCGTGCATGTGGGTGAACCAAACTCCGCTGAAGTTCATCTTCCTTCCTGTTGAAGATCACAGTTGAACTTGGTGATTGAGACACGTGGCTCAAGTTAGGGGGTTAGAAACACAGTTACTTCCAAAAACGGTCCAAGGACTCCCTCCTCCTGTGCTCTCCCACACACCACAGGGAGTGAGGGATTGCCCAGGGGTGCAGCCCCTGCCCCCTGGTTCCTCCACACAGAGAAGAGACAAGAGTGTGGAGTTCTGACTGGAAACTGGTCTCAAGGAAGTTGAAGGATTATCCCACGGGCCGGGGAAAATGAAGACGAACTCTTTGCCTCATGTCGCGGTTCCTGCTTTGACAACCTACATTTCCAAGAAGCAAAGGACCTATAGTTAACCAGAAAACATCCGTTCTCACCCACTCCCTCTCCCCATGGCTTACGTAGAGGAGAGAAGACGACCAGAGGAGAAATCAAGGGAAGAAAAGGCAAATGGGCAAAGGAAAACAAGAGGAATGCTTAAAATATATGTCATTTCATTTCATTTCATCTGATTTTTTTTTACTCAATACTCCCTTGGGGAAAGGGTCTAGAACTGACCACATATCTACAGCAGAAAGAGCAGAGACCCAGAAATCTGGTCCTGGTGGTTTTAACTCCACCAGCCCTGAGTTTCCTCTTCTCCAAAAGGAGGGCCCAAACTCTCAAATCTTAGGTTCTGGAGTGTTCCAGAAAGATCAGGAAGGTTCTAGAAATCTGAAGGTTGCGGCACTCAGGGTCAAGCACCCACACATTTGCCACAAGGATGCATCTGTGCCCTTAGAAACTCCTAGAGCCAAGAAGGGCAAAGCTTTGGTCTGCCTGAACAGAAGGAATTCCAGAAAACAACCACAAGGCCAGGCCACAGAACTTCTAAGGGTAGCAGTCTACAAACCAAGGAGTCTCAGCGCTCCACACTTGAGAAAAAATTTTTTCTGCTGCTGTCGCCTCCCAGTCTGAAGTAATCCCATGTTTCACATGGGGCTGGGTGGTGAGTAAACCTGCAAACAACGGTAGCAACAGAAGGAGGCGGGCAAGGAAAGGAAAGACCAGCTGGGTACCGGTCAGCTCCTGGCAAAAAGTTCACATCTGGAAATAAAGGAAGGAAACTCAGGACGCACGGGGCGGGGGCGGGTGTGCAGCGGAATGGGGCTGACGCTTGCATGTCCAGGGTCAGCCTGAGCTCTCCGTTTTGGCACACTTTTTCAAACATGAAGCCAAGGTTCTCACCCTGTAAATATGACTTCACATTAATAACAGCAGCCTATGAGATGATTATCTGTAAAGACGCCAGACTGCATGCAAATAGGCCGGATACGCCTCGCAGAGTTTCACGAAAAGAAGACAAAGGGCAAAGAAATTCTGCCAAAGGACTGAGCACAAACACGCAAGGAAAGCCTTTTAAACGCCCCCCACCCCCACCCCTTGGCCTTTAGCTGCAGCTGGCTTCACAGAAAAGCAACTTTGCAGGTCTGTGGCTGACAGGGCTGAGTCCCTGAGGGCTCAAACCTGGGGTTTTACCGCCATCCAGTGGAAGCAGAGGGTATGGCAGCACTGCCCGGTGAATCAGAGGCACAGGTTCTTTCTCTTCTGACAATGAAAAATGACAAAGATCGTCAAGCTTTATTTCATTATCCCCACTTAGTTCCAAGGAGACAGCACTTTGTTTCCCTGCTATCAATCACCTGGCGTCCCCCAGGCACCAGGCGGGGCTACGCTTTCAGCACGATCTAATGCAGCCCAGCTGGAGATGGGGGCGCCAGGAAGAGCTTTGGACTCCTCTTCTCCAAGGCGAAGAGCCCCTGAAACATCGTCTCAATAACAGAGGAGTTTAGACATGTGCAGAAGACGTGAGACCTGGAGATGAGCTGACAGCCAAGGGCGGTGACAAGTGCTTCTGGAGAATTCACTGAGGCCACAGCCCACTTGCTCAGTCTCACTGACCACTTTTTTTCTTAGAAAGAAAATACGTTCCCAGGGATGGCTGCCATTCCCAGATCCTATTAAGTTTGGGGATTTAAAAAAAATTTTTTTTTATTTATTAGAGAGGTAGACAAAGATCTCCCATCCACTAGTTAACTCCCCCAAATGCCCACAACAGCCATGGCTGGGCTGTAAAGGCAGGAGCTGGGAAATCAATCCAGGTCTCCCGGGTAGGTTTCAGGGACCCAACGATTTGAGCCATCACCTGCTCCCTTCCAGAATGCTCCTTATCAAGGAACTGGAAGTGGGGGCAGAGCCAGGACTCAAACCAAGCACTCTGATATGCACACAGGCATCCCAAGCAGCATCTAACCACTGGACCAAAGGCCCACCCTGCTCTCCAGTTTTGTAGAGGGGCAGCCATGTGGATACAAAGGTCAGGCAGACTTTCCTGCCTGTTAAGAAGACCCTGTGGCCGGTGTTGTGGACAGTGGGTTAAGCCGCTCCCATGGTGCCGGCATCCCGTATCGGAGCACAGGTTTAGTCTGACCTTGCTGTTTCCGATCCAGCTTCCTGCTCACATACCTGGGAAGGCAGCGAAAGGTGGCCTGGGTACTTGGGTCCCTGACACCCATCTGAGAGACCCAAATGGGGTTCCTGGTTCCTGGCTTTGACCTGGCCCAAAACTGGCTGTTGGGGCCATTCAGGGGGGTGAACCAGCAAGCAGATAATACATCTCGCTCTGTCACTCCCTCTCTATTTCTCTTTTTCTTTCTATTGTCCTGCCTTTCAAATAGATAAAAACTTTTTTAAAAAAGAAAGATCCAGAACCTTTTGCAGTTTCATCTTTTGCTCATACACAACCACCACCACCACCACCACCACCCTCTTGGCTTGGTTTTAGGATGAAGGCCAGAGAAGGAAAGAGAAGGAGATGTGCATTTGTAGGGAATGGTGTGTTCCCTGCACTCTGACAGATATAAAATAAGCCAGATGTTTTCTCCTCCTAACAAACCTCACGGGGTCATGGCCTCTTGTAAAAGACTAGAACAGTTGAGAAGGATCCATGTCATTGCTTGTCACTCCCTTTTCAATACAAAACTAGTGTTAGGGCAAAGTTCATCAACCAAACCTTTGTGGCACGTTAACGCCTGCAGTTTGTTAACGCACCTCCACCCTCAGCTCGTCTCGGCCACTCCCAGGTTTTTTCCTTACTTGGATGAAGTCCAGGCTCTTAGGGAGTAACTCCCCAACTTAGTTACCCATTTACAAATGTCATTCACGGGCCGGCGCTGTGGCGTAGCGGGTAAAGCTGGTGCCTACAGTCCCAGCATCCCATATGGGCACCAGTTCGAGTCCCGGCTGCTCCACTTCCAATCCAGCTCTCTGCTATGGCCTGGGAAAGCAGTAGAAGATGGTCCAACTCTTTGGGCCACTGCACCCATGTGGGAGACCAGGAAGAAACTCCTGGCTTTGGATCGGTGCAGCTCCGCGTGTTGCAGCCATCTGGGGAGTGAACCAGCAGATGGAAGACCTCTCTGTAACTCTGCCTTTCAAATAAATAAATCTTTTAAAAAATGTCATTCACTCTCTGTGGGGATTTCCTTTTCCCTTCACCAGAGAGCCCTGTGCTGTGCCCCACAGAGCTGTGCCACTTACCACGTCCTTACTGGGATATTGTGAGCCAGTTCTGTCAAAGAAGCGACCAGGACTTGTCCACTCCCAGCACTAAACCTCGGTGAAACACGCACCTGGCTTTGCAGTCTCCTCCCTGTCTTGGGTTTCTGAACCCCATTCCAAAGTTGCCACTCCTCTGCCATCTGACAGCAGAACCCCAGGATGCCTGCCCCTCCTGGCTGTCTCGCTCTCTCTCCTTGAGTGGCTTCCAGACTTGGGGCAAAGGAGCATATCTTAGATTTAAGGAGGAGAAGGAGACACATGGGAGAGGTCATGTACAAACTCGGGGAATCGAACCTTGAACTTCGGCTCCAACATGAAGCCCAACAGGGGAGTCTTGGGGTCCACCACCACCTGTACTTCTGCTGCAGCGGTCAGAGCGGCCACCAAAGGGAAAGGCACTGGGTGTGGTGGTTCAGCCACTGCTTGGGACCCCTGCATCCCACATCAGAGTGCCTGGATGGGAATCCCAGCCCCTCTTCCTATCCCAGCTTCCTGCTAGCATGCACCTTGGTGGACAGCAGGTGACAGTTCAAGTGTGTGGGTCCCTGCTTCCCAGTTAGGACACCTGGATTGAGTTCCCAACTCCGGGTGTCGGCCTGGCCCAGTCCTGGTTGTTGTAGGCACTTGGGAAGTAAACCAGAAGATGAAAGATCTGACTCTCTCTGCCTTTCAAATAAAATGAAAATAAAAGATAAACGTTTTAAAAAAGAGTCACCACTGCACCTTTATTGAATATGCAGATGAATAACTTATTATACAACAAACACTGCCCCCTGTCGACAATGCCCGCTTACAGCGCACAGGCGGTGAGTACAGGGTGATCTATTTACAGAGGCTGGGGCGCAGGGGAGTGGAGCGCATCAGTGCCTGGAACTGCCAGCAACAGCAGCGTACAGATGCTCCCTCCGTGCTGGGGGGGTCCAGGAAACCAAGCACAGGTGGAGGCCCCGGGGCTGACACCAAGCGCGGGGATGGTTCCAGAAGGTGCCCCGCCGAGTGCTCGGGGAGCTGTTGAGCCCTCTGAGAGGCAGCGCCACGGAGGTGAGTCCGCCCAGGGTGGCCTCAGCCCCTGCTCCTAGGCGAGGAGTCGGGGGAGAAGCAGGCCAGGGCGCGGCTGCCAGGGGAGATCCAGGCGGGCAGGCCTTCGCTGGTTCTGCTGATTCCAGTTCTGCTCTGGGCCGAACGATTCCCACGGAAGCCGCCCCCGCAGCTGGACAGGCCAGTCCTGGGGGCCGAGGACCACGCCTCCGGTCACAGGGAAGGGACAGGACCAGCAGGCACCTAACCCGGGGCAGCCTGAGACTCGCGCTTGGAGAAAGAATCCTAAGTGTGGGAGGAAGGCTGCTGAGGCCTGGCGCTCCAGCGTGCAAGCAGAGTGGTTGAGGCGGGCGCCAGGCCGGCGGCTCCTGTTACGTCCGGTGCAGGTTTCCCGGGAGACTCGGCGTGGAGCCCGCGTCGCGGCGAACTCCCAGTGGGGTTGGCGGCCTAGCTGTGTTCACCCCGCTCTGGACAAGCAGGTTAGCTGCCCTCTTTCCTTCCTTCATAGCCGTTGTAAGGGCTGGCCCGGGCCTGGGCGCGAGGGATGGAGAAATCCTTCTGGGGAGGCTGATTCTGAAAAGGAGACGAGAACATCATGAAAGCCTCGCCTGTCCCGGCCTCTCTCGGACGTCCTGCCCGCTTCTCCACAGGCCTCCCCCAGGTCCTCCCTAACCCCGTGAGGCGACCTGGGGACGTCGGAATCCTGGCCAGTTCCTCAAGCACAGCCGGGCCCCCCACTCCACCCCACCCCACCCCACCCCAGACTGCGAATGCCACAGACCAACAGGAAGAAGACAGCAATTACCTGGAGCTGGAAATGGGTGGCGTAGGGGGCATAGAGAGTATCCCCTATCTCTCCAAGACCTGAAACAGAGCAAGGGGAGAAACTGAAGCACTGAGGCCCCCGCCTGCCGGCAGCCCGCCGCAGAACTTCTCAGAGTGTGCCCTCACGTCTGTTTCGGCGCAGACTGCCAGTCCTTGTAGGGAGACACAGCATGTGCTTGAGCCCCGGGCCAGGCACAGAATAAGCTCAGAATTGGTTGAATCAATGAAAAACTAACAGGAAGGGCTTTGGAAACCGCTTTCCAAGCTTACAGCAGGGGCCCCACCTCATCTCCGGAGCACTTCAAAAACACATTTGGAAAAGTCATTTAAAAGACAGGGTGTGTGGCACGGGCACGCGGGACACTGGTATCCCATTAGCAGACGGCCTGTGTTTGAGTCCTGGCTTCACTTCCCAGTTCTGGCTGCCTGCTAATTCGCACCCTGGGAGGCAGCAGTGGTGGCTCAAGTACCCGAGTCCCTGCCTCCCACGAGGGAGACCTGGATTGAGATCCCCAGCGGCTGGCTTTGGCCTCGCCCAGCCCTCTTCTGTTGCAAGCATTTAGGGAGAGAACCAGTGGATGGAAGCGCTGTCTGTCTGTCTCTCTTTCTCTGTCCCTCTGCCTTTCAATAAGTCAAATAAATAAATAACATTTTTAAAATGTCTTTTCAGGTGTAGATCTGGTGAGAGATGTGCTAGACGGGATCTCAGGGGGTATTTGCCCACCTTCTTAACTGTCTGATGAGGAAAAACTACATTTTATATAAATAAATCTATATGCTTATTATATATGTATCATTTTCTTTTAGAAAGGACAGAATTTACGAGAATTGGTTTCTGTGTCTTTTGGGAGAATCGGAGGTTTTACAGTTGAGAAGGACAACACGTAATCATCACAAACACAATTTAAAGCAATTCTTTTATCTCCCCCGCCCCCCCAAAGTCACCTGCCCCATTCACTCGATCAATACTTCCATGTGTAAGGCATTATGAGGAATGTAAGGATGAACCAGAACAATCGATCGCTGACCTCGGAGAATAAGGAAGCCATGACGGGGACACAGAGCACTACCGAAGGAGACGGACTCGGATGGGAACATTTCAGAGTTCTACAGATGCACAGAGCAGAGCGATCCCCAAGCCCGCAGAATGCATGACTCTGGACAAGGGCAGGCAGAGGGCAGGAGCAGCAGGACCTCTCCGAGGCGGAGGCAGGCGAGCGCAGGGATTTGCAAGCACTGGGAGGAGGCTCCTGTGGTGTGGAAGGCTCTGGGCTGCTGCGCTGGGTGGGGAGCGTGGCAAGGGAGCAGCAAAGCCCCTCAGGAAGAGGAAGCTCCTGAAGTGGGCAGCAGGAAGGACGAAATCGCCAGGGAACCGTGGGGAGTCCAGGAGGGAGGGGACAGAGTGCAGCCCTGGGAGCGGGGAGAAGGGGCTGGGCATAGAAGCCACCCTCTCACCCCCCTCCCAGGCTCCCGGGCACACAGGAGAGGCCACAGCTGCAGCGAGAAGCCCCAGGAGGCTCTGCATCCCAGGCTGGCCTCCGAGGGAAGACTTCTTTATCATGTGAGCCAAGACCTGGCCTTGGAGATCCCTCACTCCTGTTCAGAAACCATTTCCCCACCGATTAGACTCAAAGACGCAAAGACCCAGGTAAACTCTGGGGCTCCATGAATAGACCCCATGGGCAAAGGAAGTCACTGGGTGTCACTTTAGCCGCTTTCTCACAAGACCACCCGCAGGCTAAGCTGCCACCCGCAACGCTAGCATCCCATGTGAGCGCCCATTCCAGTCCTGGCTGTTCCACTTCTGATCCAGCTCCCTGCTAACGTGCCTGAGAGAGCAGGAGAAGATGGTCCAAGTCCTTGGGCCCCTGCACCTGGCCCCGGCCACTGCAGCCATGTGGGGAGTGAACCAGAGGATCAAAGCTCTCTCTCTCTCATTCTCTCTCTCTCTGTAACTCTGCCCCTCCACTATCTTTTTTTAAATAAATAACACTGGCCCCTCCCCTATCTTTTTTTAAATAAATTTTTATCTACTTTAGAGACAGACAGAATAAGAGAGACAGGGAGAGTCTGTGTGTGTGTGTGTGTGTGTGTGTGCCCATTTGTGGTTCACTCCCCAAATGCCCACAATAGCTAAGTCTGAGACAAGACTGAAGCCAGGAGCCAGAACTCAACCCGGGTCTCTCACGTGGGTGACAGAAACTCACTTGAGCCATCGGAATTGCCTTTCTGGGTCAGCAGTTAGCAGGAAGCTGGAGCCAGAGGTGGGCACCAAACCCAGGCGCTCCAACGTGGGACGTGGGTATCCTAATTCGTGTCTGCATAGCTACGCTGAAAGCCCATCCCTCCCCAACCTTTCCACAGGCTTCTCCCCACACCAGACCGTGTACCTTGAGTCATTTCGTCCTGAGAGAAGGCTCTGTTCTCCATACCGTAGCTCTGCTTCAAGTGTTGAGGTTTACAAAAGGCGTCCTCGATTGGATAATCCGTGGGGTTGCGCTGATTGGTGAGCAGCCAAAACTCAGGACCCACATAAACAAACAGGAAAACCCAGCCATTGGCCACCAAGGCGGTGCTGAGGATGGTGTCATCCCACGCGGGGCCCGGAGTAGGAATCAAGAGCAGGGTGATCCACGCCACCCAGATGGCAATGGACAGGAGTGTGGCGAGGTAGATGTGGGCCCCGTGTATCTTCCAGCCAGCGAAGGGCCCGCAGAAGGTGCAGGAGGACATGAGGAAGGTCAGCGCCATCAGCAGGAGGACATAGATGAGCAGCAGGACAAAGTCTTCATTGCGACGAGGAGCAGGGAGCTGGGAGAAGACATCGACGTTGGTCCTGTTCATGGTGAGGACGACGTACTCAATGGCGATGACGTCCTGCACCAGGCTGAAGCCCACAGCCAGGCCCAGGGTCACCAGCAGGGAGAGGGACTTCCTCCCACGGACAAGCTGCGTCAGGTTGAATGCGTGAACCAGGAGGCAAGAGAAGCAGACGGAGAAGAGGATGCCGAAGAGGAAGAAGCGCGTGGGCCCCGTGGCCCCGTCCAGCCTGATGATGAAGGCGAAGGTCAGGCCGAAGAGCCCTAGCACACCGATGAGGAAGAGGAACTGGGTCGGGAGCATCTTCCGCCTGTTGGAATCTTGCACCTTGCAGATGAGGATCAGGAGAGCAAACATGAAGACCACTGAGCCCACAGCCCCAATGGCAGCCAGCGCCTCCAGGATGATGCCCCAGGCCGCGTTAATGTCACAGAGCAGGTAGTACCTGGGGTCCAGGTCTGAGCGGCAACCCTTAGGGGCCATGGTCGACGTTCTGGTGCTGAATAAAAGCAGAGTTGGGAAGGGTGGTGAGTCTCTCAACACACTCAGACACGTACGGGACTAAAAAAAAGATTAGGGGGAACATTGCATGTGTTCAGCTAGGATGTTGTTGCCCTTGAACGTGCTACATTAGATGCAGCTAACTTTTCCCTGCCTCTCTGGCAAATCCTAAAGACTGATGAAGGCAAGGAACAGACCTCAATGCTTCTCTGCCCGATGTAACCATCTTCATCTTGACCTTGAAGCCAGGGAACCCAGCTCTCTGAAGGGATTTTTTTTTTTCCCCCAAAATTTTGAAACACAGATTACAAACAGCCTTCCAGGTTACTTTTCCTAACTTCCCTTGTGTTGTCTCAGGACTCAGCAAGCAGGGAGGTAGTCAGACTTGGAGTTAACACGTGGATCATAGTTTATCAGTCTCAAAGATTTCCCACCTTTGGCTGTGTTTCAGGTATTGTTTATAAGCATCCCATTCTCTCATGGATGAGGAGTTACCTAAACTGCAGATTTTTCTACAGAAGAACAAACATTGGGAGCAGGTGTTTGCCTGCATATCAGGGTCCTTGGGTTCACTACCTGCCTCCAGCTCCCTGCATGAGCAGACCCCCTAGGAGGAGTGATGGCCCAAGAAATTGGGTTCCTGCCACTCACATGGGAGACATGGATTGAGGTTCCAGCTCCCAGCTCCAGCCTCAGCCCAATCCTGACCATCGCAAGCATTTGGGGAGTAAACCAAATGAGATCTCTCTCTCTCTCTCTCTCACCCTTCCCTCATAAATGACCCTTTGTGGCTCTAATTGCACTCCCAGGAACATAGGAGCTCCCAGGTGATAGATAATCCACTTGTCCATTCAGAAGAATCAGGAGTCTACAGGATGCGCAGCAGCATACTTCCCGTATAAGTGTTCGTAATCACTCAGGCAAAGGGTTTCTAGCTCCACTTCCCCAACCTCCATGTGAGTTTTACACCCAGCTGTCTGCCTGACTCCCAGGAAATCTAAATCCTAAGGATTTGGGGCACAAGTGAGAAGACAAGTTGGGAAACTGGAAAAGAGAAAGGAGCTTCTATGTTTTCTCAAAACAGATAGCTCTGAAATTCCAAAGCCAATGTCAGGTAAGATCTGAAGTTCAGCATAGCTAAACACAACTCAGTCCTAACAGTTTCTCAATAAACCCTACATTTTACTGCTTATGACTGCTTCTGCTGCTTATGGCACTACTCCTTTTGTTTGATCATATGCTCTGTATGCATGGATTCTTGTTTTCTCTCTCTCTTTTTTTTTTTTTAACTTTTCTTTTCCCAAGAACATTGATCATCAAGGGTGGAAAGTTCTGAATGGACTTGAAAGGAGACCCCTGTGGGAAGGAGCCAGCATTCCGGCAAGGGGAGGGCTGCTGGAGCCCCCTCAGTCTCCACTGGTCCAAATGTGGAGACAGACGTGCTGCAAGGAATCTGAGTAAGGAGGGCTGGGGCCGGGAAGCAGGAAAAGGTACGAGGCCCCAGCTGACTCCTGCCTATTCTCTTACAGCAAAATAAACCCACAAATGCTAACGGATGAGATACCTTCAGCCACTCCTGAAAAGTAGCAACCACTGCAGGGTCCCGGGATTACCCAAAGGAAAAAAGAATTCTCTCCCTTTTCTTTCCATCCTGTCTCTTCAAATTGCAAGGCAGGCAGGGGCCAGCGCTGGGGCATAGCGGGTAAGGCCACTGCCTGCAGTGCCGGCATCCCATATGGGAGCCAGTTCGAGTCCTGGCTGCTCTTCTTCTGACCCAGCTCTCTGCTATGGCCTGGGAAAGTAGTGGAAGACGGCCCAAGTTCTTGGGCCGCTGCATCTGCATGGGAGACCCAGAAAACGCTCCTGGCTCCTGGCTTCAGATCGGCGCAGCTCCGGCCATTGCGGTCATCTGGGGAGTGAACCAGTGGATGGAAGATCTTTCTCTCTTTTTCTCTTTCTCTCTCTCTCTCTCTCTCCCTCCCCCCGCCCTTCAACTAAATAAATAAAAATTATTTTAAAGGATAATTTTAAAAGTATAGTTTATATCTATCTTCCTGATGTTGGTGAAAGTTGGCTGTCCACACTTCACTGCATATGTTATAGTCACTCACGCAACAAATATTTACTGAGCATGGCTGTATGCCAATCATGCGTCTAGGTACTGGATGGTACAGCAGGAAGCTGCCAGCACCGCCACAGCCTCCCTACACCCTCCCTCACTGTGGATCTGATGCCTGTGTACGCTACGCTGCTGGACAGCACACCACAGTTTTCCCTACCACAAGCAAAGAGAGGGTCACCTCCCCTGTCTGCAGGGTGGGGGCAGAACAAAAAACAGGAGGAAAAAGGCAGGCAGAGGACATTCAGAGAAAGCAGCTCCCGAAATGCAAGTACCCACAGCCTGATCAGCTGTGGTGACAACTGTCCACTCTCCAGTGGGGGACCGTGAGAAAGGGAGGTGGGGACGGCCCTGCCTTGGCTGTGCCACTGAGTGTGTAGGAGGAAGAACCTGTCCCGTTCTAAGGCGGCGAGGAGAAGGGAAGGCACGCAGGCCCTGTGCACTGCCCGCCCGTCATCGCACCACAGTTATTTCACTTCTCCACGCCCTCTGAGATTAATCATCCGGGTGGTATCTGGCAGGAAATCTTGTACTCTCTCTCTCGCCCTCCCTGCCTCTCCCTGAAAATGGCTACTTCCACCGCTGTGGCTGACCAGTCAAGTTCTTGCTATAGAAAATTTTATAATGGAGGCCCATATAACCATCACTTGGTTTCAAAAATGTTACTATATGACCAATTTTGCTTCATCTAATTCCTCACTCCACTCATTAGGTTATTTTCAAGCAAATCTCAGACATCGCATACTTTTGTCCATAAATACTTTAGTTTGTCTCCTTTTTTAAAAATCAAAACTCAGGGCTGGCATCACGGCATAGTGTGTTAACCTGTCACCTGCGACATCGGCATCTTAGATGAGTGCTGGTGTGAGTTCTGACTGCTCCACTTCTAATCCAGTGCCCTGCTAATGTGCCTGGGAAAGCAGCAGAAGATGGCCCAAGTACTTGGCTGCTGCCACTCACATAGGAGATCTAGATGAAGTTCCAGGCTCCTAACTTAGGCCTGGCCCACCACTGGTTGTTGCGACCATTTGGGGAGTGAACCAGTGGATGAAGATCTCAATCTCTCCCTTTTACTATTCCTTTCAGATAAATAAATCTTTAAAAAAATCAAAAAATTTAACTACTCTTTAAAATTAATAATCCTTAAGTATCAAATATGCAGCTAAGGTATTTCCCAATTCTCTCCCAAGTGTCCTTTAAAAGACCTTCTTAGTAAATGTTTTTTTTATCTAGGTGACTGTCAGAATCATCATTCTAATTCAACTCCAATAATCTCTACTCTTCCTCCTCTTCTCCAGTCTGATAAGAATTGCTCAACACCAAGTAAAAAGTTACAAATTCTTTGAATTTACTCATAGAAAAATCAGTTCACCATAGTCATTAACAGGCAAGTCTGTATGGAAAAATGGTCCAGGAAGATGCCTGGAGGAGGGTGGGGTTCTGAGAAACCGCAATCACTTGAAGCTGCCTTAAACCCTTTTTAGGATAAGCCAGGCATTTTAAAAAAAAAAAGATAAAATAAGAAAAGAAAGAAAGAAAGAGAGAGAGAGAGAGAGAGAGAGAGAGAGAGAGAGAGAGAGAATTGAGGAGAAGGTGAGGGGAAGGAAGAAAAGGAGGCAGAGGAGAAAGGGAGGCAGGGAAGGAGGGAGTCACGTATTGGGTTCAATTCCAAACCGTCTGTTACTCCTCCCCTGTAGGACAAAGAGGTTTCCCAAGCCGCCATGCATGAGGTCAAGTCCCGTCATCTCCCAAACCTCTGTTGTCTCTTCCAGAAAATGAGGGGCTGGGCCCCACGCCCAGCTCTGCAGTTCATCCCTCTGGGAGCTCCGTGAACACAATGTCCAGATCTCTCTCCCTCGCCTTCCTGTCCCATTTCTTACCATTAAAAGACGAGGTGCCACTACCCCCTAAGCAGACCCCAAAGCAGAGCTGGAGGACAGGCTGAGGGGGCTGAGCACAGGTCAAGAGATGGGAAACCAGGGGATGCTCACTTGAGGGGCAGAGCTGCAGGGTACTGGGGCAGGACTGACCCTGGATGTGGCCTTGACTGACAGTGCTGACTGGCACACAAAGACACACGCCAACCTGTGGTCCGTCTCCTGGCGAATGGTTTCCAACCTGAGACTCCTCAGACCCCCAGAATGGTGCAGCAAATGTCCAAGTGCTTACACCCGGCCTGGAAGGCTGCCCATACTGGCTCTGTGTGGCCCTTCTCAGAGGGTCTGAGAATGCGCTACCCGGGGCCAGGACCTTGCTAGAACTGGGTCTGGTCTTCCTCTGAATGAGAGTTACCTTATTCTAGCATCTAAAAACAATGACAGGACCTGAATCCTCAGACTGACCTGGGAATGACACCGAACAAGTGACACAGTTACTGAAGCTGAGCCTTCACAACATGTCAGCCCTGCAAAATCATGATTTTCCAACATTTTAACTGTTTATTCTCCAATGGCTACATTCAATCAGTAGTAACAAAATAGTCATGACATAACCATGAATAAAAATGACAACTATTACCACATACTAAGGCAAGCACTCTGGCGGGGAGGTGGGGGTGAGGGTTAAAGATCTTTATTTGCATTCTCTCACCTACATGTGTTTATGTATATTATCTCATTTAATATTCCCACAGTCCATGTATAAGTGAAAAGACTCTTGGAGAGGTGAAAGAGACATATCCAATGTCACACAGGAAGAATATTCCCTTTCAGGTAGTCATAATCAGAACTCAGTCCTTCATTTCTAAGTCACTATCGTGAGCTGCCAAGCTTTTCTCCCTTCCTCAACCTCTGTCCATGGAATCCATCCTATCATTAAGCTCGGCTCACTGAGAGGTCTCCAAACCACCTGGAGTCAACCTTCCTGTCACTCGGCAAACATGGCAGTGGTGTCAGGTACCACACTCAGTGTACAAATCACATAGACCAAAACGTGTGCTGGTGCTCTTGGGAGGCCTAGCACAGCCGCCCTGACACGCAACAAGGGAGTCACAGTGTGCAGGAAACATGGAAGATACGTGGAACACAGTGGCCCTCTACGCGGCTTTGCTGAATCTAAGGGACCCAAGCACTGAGCCCTCCCGGAGGTTGACCTGAGCTTTATATTGTTTCATTTAATCCTCACAGCATCCCATGATTATACCCTTTTTACAGTTGAGGAAACTGAGGCACAGGGAAATGAAATGTCTTGCCTGAAATTATGTAACTCTTAAAAGCCAGACTCAGGGGCAGGCATCTTGCACAGCGGTTAAGACACCACACTGCTTGGGATGCCCACATCCCTTATGGGAATGCCTGGGTTCAAGCCCTGGCTCCACCCCCGACTCCAGCTTTCTAATAAATTAATAATAATGTTTTAAAAGGCCAGACCTCCAGCTTTAGCTGTGCAGTTGCAACTCCCTCTGCAGGTGGGCCCCCCACAGCCAATGCTCAGAAGGTTTCCCTGTAGGCACAGATCGGCCTAGAGGTGGCATCTGAAGCCTTCAGAGGGAATGAGATTGCACAGGAAGCCAAAGACAGAAGCATGGGAACACAGCGCCATCGGAGTGGGAGGCAGCAAAAGATATTCAGAAGAAATCATCAGGGTTTGTAAAAGAAATAAGCCTGGGCTGTTCCCCAGAGCAGCTTCTAAGGACGCACAATGGACAAGGGAGTCCAGCGCTGCACAGGAGCAGACGGAGGAGCCTGGAAAGGGATCTTCCGATTGAGCTGTCAAAACAGCACATTAGGGGCAGAAATTTCCCATACCACCGTATCTGGGCTCTGGCTCCTGACTCTGGTTTCCAGTTAATGCAGACACTGGGAAGCGCCAGGTATGGCTCATATAATTAGGTTCCTGGCACCCACGTGGGAGACCCCAACTGAGTTCCAGGGTCCTCCAGCCTGGTTCAGTCTTGGCTTTTGTAGGTATTAGGGGGGTAAACCAGGAGTAAGAGCTTTCTCTCAAACAAACGATTTTTAAAAACACAAAAATAATTTTTGTTTACAAAGTGTATTAGTTACTCTTGTCTCTAACCACAGATGCAGCTTCAATTGGAGCACCAAGACTTTTCTCCAGCTGCTCCCCCTATTGCTCCCTCCCTCCCTCTCCACCTTGACAAGGCAAATCTTCCTGGCGCATTTTCTACCTGGGAGAGAACAGGGTTCACCCAGGCTCTTCTCACTCAAAGCCATGGTCTTTGCCTCAGCACAACCAGAAAGATTTTGCCCCTCCTATTCACTGTCTACTTAACCCACTTCAAAATGTGGCTCAAAACCTAACCTCCGTCATGAGTTTTTAAAATTAATACTAAAGGGAAGGTTTTGGCGCAGTGGTTGAGATGCCACTTAGGATTCCTACATCCTATAACAGAGTATCCGGTTTGAGCCCTGGCTCCAGTTCCCATCCAGCTTCTCTCTACTGCTCACCCTGGGGGGCATCAGATGATGGTTCAAGTGCTTAGGTCCCTGCCACCCATGTGAGAGTCATGGATTGAGTTCTGGGCTCGCTGCTTCAGCCTGGCTACTGCAGGCACTTGAGGAGTGAGCCGATGGATGAAGATCTCCCTCTCCCTCTCTCTCTCTCTCTGCCTTTCAAATAAAAATTGTTAAACTTAATTTAAAAATATTATTAATACCAGTTTCATCTCATTCTAAACTTACAGGTCTTTCAATAGCTTTCACAGTTAAGTATTTCTTGACCTTCAAGTGTTTCCTGGACGTACGGCATACATCGCCCATTAATAACAGCTCCTTAAGGAAACAGAGTAAGCCTTCTGTTTACTGGCCTTCTGCTTACGAGGTGCTCTGCCCTGTGGCTGCTGCGCAGATTTTTCAGACTTAGACTAACTGCTGGATAATTAGCCAAAGCTAGTTATTTATTAGCAAGTGTGAGTAATGGGGAGAGAAAAAACTTTTAAGATGAATACTGCTGATGCTAATCCTCGTAATTTTTGTCCAGGCTGGGTTCTCCTAAGGGAGGAGTCCCACAAGCATTTCTCAGCCCTCGATGAAGGATTCACTGTAACTGGAAAGTGTGCGCAGGGAATCTCTGACCCGTTCCTGCCACTGCCACCCTAGTTCTGATGATGTAAAAATGACACATCACAGCAACACCTTCTGAATAACATCTTAACAACATCACTAAATGGAGTTTGCATGCAGTGACTGGGAGAAAAGAAATCTTCGCAGCAGCTCAGGCAGACCAACGCGAGTGCCACAGCAAAGCTCCCAAGTGGACACTTTCTAAGTAGTTCTCCAGGAGTTCTCCATCTTCCTTTTCTTCTAAATAAACTATGTAGACTTTAGATTAACCTGAATATAGGATGACACGCTGGAAATCACTTTTTAAAATGAAACTTGAGATGTTGAGTTAAAGTTTCCAAGTCCGTTAGGCCCAGAACGCTAACAAATGGAAGTTTTATAAACCAGGAGAATCGAGTGAAGTCCGCTATGGGTCCATCTCAAAGCTCTCCGTTCTGTAAAGGTAACATATTCATGTGGGATACACCAAGTCCAGAGCCAGCCTTCTCACCTCTCCTTGCAGGCTGATGTCTCTAAGCCGTGAGAAGGGCACCTCCACCTCCTCAGTGAACCAGCCGATCTGAAAACACAGCCTACGCTGCGCTGCGTAAGGGGCAGAGGAAGAGACGAGTAGACCTATGACCCACAGTTAGGGGACAACAGCAAGTGACTGGGTCACAACATATGTAGATCGTAACTCTCCTCTCGAAAAGACTAAAAACTAGTACACCTGTAAGAACCTCACTGAAAACAAAGGGACTGGCAAGGTTAAAAGGCAAAAGGAAGGGAAAAATGAAAATAAATACAAAAGAAGGAATGCTAATAAACAATGTTTATTTAACAAGTGTGCCAGGTGCAAAGTTAAATAACTTGCTCAAGTAAAAGAAGCAAGCAGGAGTTGAGATTTAATCACACAAAGTTGTGATTAAGGCCAAAAAAAAAAAAAAAGCCTGCTTTACAATAATTAGGGATACTCCACACTGAAGATTAAAAATCATAAACTTTGATCCACCAACAATACAGCAACTAAAACATATAAAACAAAAACGACCACAGTTCAAGGAGAAATTAAAAGAAATACAATGGTTATGGAAGACTTTAATACTTCCTTATCAATTCTTGGCAGGTGAAATACACACAATGAACAATATGATAAATTTCCTAAATGTTCTATGGAAACTTTGATGGGAATATTCTTCATATCTCACTACATCTCCATTATTAATCATATAATTTACATCTTCTACATCAGCGATCAGGAGATATTTTCTATAAAGGGTCACTACATAGTTTAGACTTTGTGAGCCCATGGAACATTTACCAAAACTGAGCATATTTTAGAGTATAAAGAGAAAACTGAAGTTCCAAAAAAAAAGCACAAGAGTACATATTCTAACAAAAAAGCCATAAAAACGGAGAAAAATAGAAACAAACACAGTGCACCGCTCAGAAGGTCAAACACCCCTCAAGCAAAAATACTGTTTACTGTTGACTATACCACATGCTTTCCTCAGGTCAATCTGTGCATTTTTAAACAGCAATGGACCCAGAATGAAAAGAATAAAATCAAAGTCGAAATTCTTCATCACATCCTGCTGTCCTTACATTGCCACTCAGGTGTGGAATATGAAAAAAAAAGCAGGGTCTATAGAGGACTCCCAAGGGAACAGGCGCGTGTATAGACAGAGGGATTGGCATCCTAACACAGGAAAGGAGCTCCCGGCTCCCTTAGACCGCTTCTAACTCACGGCACACGCCCTTGCCTGACCGGGGCTTCGTGGTCCTGCTAAGCTTGGAGGAGAAAACAAGGCGCCAGGACTTAGGGCTGAGAACCCTTTCCAGGAAACCACGCGGCCGTGCTCCTCTGCCCACTCTGTCTCCCAGGTAGCGCCTCGCCCCACCCTGCCTCTCCTGCCAGCCTTCCCCGTTCCCAGCGGCACACAAACCCTCGCGGGTCTCCAGCCCCGAAGTACCCGAAGTGGCTAAAGAATGCCCCAGAGCCCCTGGCAGAGGCTGTGTCAGCCCAGCCCCGCGACAGGTGTGGTCTTTGCTGGAGGCTCCGCGGCGCAAAGCTGCGGAGAACGTTAAGTCCTCAGACCCTCTCGGGCCACCTGCTCGCCCTTCCCGGGGGGCGTCTAAGAGAGCAAGGCAAGCACAGTTTACGGAGCTCCCAAGCGCGGTCTGGTTGCTGGTGGAAGCGCTGAGCTGCTACCATGGGAGCAACTCAGGGGCCCCCGGAGGAGGGGCCGCAGCCGAGCGGACCCCCACCCACAGCCAGAAGAGGGGTTGGAGGCCAGGTGCACTTTTAGTTCCCGGTATTCAGCAGGGCACCCTGAGGGTGCCAGGACAAAATACTGGGAACTTTCCAGCGTCTGGGTGACGTAGCAGCTGTCACCATCTCCCTCCTCCGGCCGCTCACTTCACCTTTCTCCCCCTTTTTCTCTTCCCATTTACAATGATCCCCAAACCGCTCACCCCCTGCCTGGGTAGGATTCCACCTGCCCTCCTTCACGTCCGAGCAGAAACTGTTACCTTGACGCTCTTCTCTCTGACTTTATTTTAGCCTGGGAAGCCCAGAAAGGGCGCCAGGGGAATCTGGGAATCTGAGTTGACTTAAAGTAGAGGAATTCCTTTCTCGGACCGTTCCGCCCCTAGCCAGCCGCGTTCGGTCCTTCGGGGCCTCTCTGCTCCCCCACCCGCGCCGTCCCCGCGCCGCGCTCGCCGCGCTCCGGACTCCTGGTGCCGAACTCACCCTGGCGCCGGGCTTTGGTCGTGAACTTGACTAGGCGGCGAGCACTCGGGTCGCGCACGCTGGAGCAGTCTGCGGAGCAGCGATGCCGCCCTTGCCGCGCCCGGCGGTTATAAAGGTTGCTGCGGCCGGGGGCGGGAGCGCGCGCGCCAGGAGGCCGAGCGGACCGGCCGGGGGCGGGGGAGGGTCCCGGGCAGAGGACACGCCCACTCCGACTCCGCCAAGCTTCGCGCTGTTGTGGAAATAAAGTCCCAGGATCTCCTGACGTCAGAAGCAGGGTCATGCCCGACACCGGGTGCGGGGAGCACCCTGCTCGTCCGCTCCTGCGTGGCCTGGGGCGGCCCAGCCAGACATGGGGCTCGAAAGAAGGGTCGCGGGGACGCTCGCTCCGCGTCGGCGCCGCAGGCTTGTCCCCTCAGGGTGGAAGCCATCCCCTCCCTCTCCACCGGCTCTCCGGTCCCCCCAGGGCCAGCGCCAGCGCCGGCCAGAGAGAGGGGCCCAGCTCCCCCGTGAGTTCCCAGGGCCCGAGCCAGCCTTTCTCCAGCCTCCCGCCTTGCGGAGGTTTTCTCTTCATCACTCTCACCCCGCCCTGCGGGAGGGGAAGCCCGTCTGGAGAAGGAGGTGGCCGCCCTCTCCGGCCTCCCCAGCCTGGAAGGCAAGTGCCACCGGGTCCACAGTCAGCCCAGCGAGTGCCCTGGAAAGAACTGCGGCCAGACCCGCCCTAGCGCTGCCCTGGGCTGGAGAGATCCGTCTCCGCTTTCCTCACAGCCTCCCCTTGAAGCCCTGACGCCGCCGGCCGCGGGGAACCGGGGTGCCGGATAAAATCAAAAACCCAAGGAATTCGCCCCGCCCGCCGCTGCCCACCCTTCTGCATTAGCAAGCCGATCCCACTGAAACTTGGCTTTGTTTACTTGTTAAACAATCCTGGAGAGTCTGCCCCGAACTGTCAGGGCTCTCTGCCCCGGGGCTCCGCGGAAGGGAGACTCGGCTTTCAGGGTGGCTGCGGCTAGTGCACCTGCCGCTAACCAGAGGGGAAGGCCTAGGACTCCCAGCTCTCCTCACTTCTCCCCCACCCTAAGTCTCCTGTGCTTTTTCTGATGTGACTCTCAGGCCCCCTCCTTTGGCCCAGTGGTTTAACATGCTGATTGAGACACCTGCCTGAGAGGACCAGGGTTCCGATCCTGACTCCATTTCGACTCCTATCTTCCTGGTGATGCACATCTGAGAGACAGCACATGATAGCCCAGGTGCCTGGATCCCTGCCACCCACGTGGGGGACCTGAATGGAGTTGGAGGCTCCTGGTCCCTGGCTGTTGCAGGCATCTGGAAACTGAACCAGAGGTTCCTCTCTCTCTCTCTCTCTCTCTTTCTCTCTCTCTCTCTCTCTCTCCCTTTCCCTCTCCCCCTCCCTCCCTCCCTCTCAGCTTTCAGATATGCTCACATGGGATTCCAGCTCTGCAGCAGGAGGTTTAACTCAGTACCCACAGCACCAGCCCCCCCCCCTTCAGATTTCAGCTTCTTGCTAACGTGCATCCTGGGAGGCAGCAGGTGATGGCTGTAATATTTAGGTCCTTGACACCCAACTTGGGACACCCAGATTAAGCCCCGAGCTCATGGCTTCAGCCTGGCTGTCTTGGATATCGTGGGTATTTGGGAAGCGAGTTAGCAGATGGGACACTTTTCTCTGTCTCTCTGCCTTTCAAACAAATAAAAGTCAATAAATAGTTTATTTTTTAATCCAGCATGTATCTTATACCTACAGCAGCAGCCACATTACAAATGTTCTCAAGCAATGTGCAGCTAGTGGCTCCCTCGCTGGACAGAACAGGGCTACTCACGTCTGAGGGCTCTCTGAGTGCTGGCATGTTAGGATGCGAGTCACCACGTCTGGGGCGAGGCTCATGACATCAAGCAAAGGATGTCAAGTCTGAGGTCTGAGGTCACAGCTGAGAAAGTCGCACCCACCCTTCCAGGACAGGGAGCTTGGGAAAACCAAATAGGACTGTGGTGTCTTTGCAGTGGCTCCCGGCTCTCTCATGGTGCATCCGACACATCCAGAGAGGCATGTGAGAGAGCAGCTGGGAACAGAAGCTTGTTCTGAGTGCTGTCTTGGATCACTTTGCCATTGACTATGGATGTCCACCTATCTCTTATACCCTCCTTTAGACCTTGTTTTCTCCTTCCATCCCAGGCCAGCACAAATATGGGACCAACAAGGCACCTGAAGAACAAAATTCCAGGAGGCGCCACACAGCCTTAAGCTCTGGGCCCTGGAGCACCTCTTCTGGTCCCAGCCAGGATCTGAGTCCACAAAGAGCCCAGGCAGGGGAGGGACTGGGGTGGGTGCAACAGCCCAGTGATTTTGAAATGCCCCTGAGAGAGACAGTGAGAGGGGTGGGGTGGCCAACAGGTGGAGACATTTGTTCCCTGGTCTCCAGTCCTGCTACAGTGGGTTAGAGAGCAAGGTGGCGGGCCCTTGGAAATCAACAGGAGAAACAGCAGGGAGGGAGTCAGAGACCCCAGTCTCACCCCTTTGGGGGTTCCCTGGCTTATGTTTAAAATGTTAAATTTATTTTGTTTTTTTTTATTATTATTATTTATTTATTTGAATGGTGAGAGAGAGAGAGAGAATATGAATCTTCTATCTCTGCCAGTTCACTACCCAATGTCTGCAACAGCAAGGGATGGACCAGGTCAAAGCAAGGAGTTGGAAACTCAACCCTCATCTTCTATGTGAGTGGCAAAGACCCCAAGTATTTGAGCTGTCACCTGCTGCCTCCCAGAGTGTGCACCAGCAGGAAGCTGGAATTGGAAGCTGAACTGGGACTCAAACCCAAGCACTTAGAATGCTTCATTACTGTCCATCTGTCTGCCAGATGCTGCTCCTTAGAGGCAGCTTCGATTCCCCAGCATAATCACCTAGGGGAAAGATCATCCACAGCTGCTAATGGCTGAACAAACAGGAAAATTCCCAGCAGAGGATGGAGACCGACCAGGATATTTTCCCTGCTCTTATATTCCCCACAACGCTTGATGCACAGGGCGGGTCTGCCTCCTCGGATCATGACTCTGTTGGAACTGCAAGTATCTTGCCAGGTTCCTAACAGTGGCTCTTCTAGTCGGTCCCTAAATACTACAGGAAGCATTAGAGAGCCAGCTACGCATCAGGCATTGCAGGGACTGTAACAGAAGCAAGACACAGACCCTGCTTGGTCTCTGTCCCCTGATGGGAATTTCCCTGTTTGTTCAGTCATCAGCAGCCGTGGAGAATCTCCTAAGGAACCCAAGCTGCCCCTAAGGAGCAGGGTCTGGCAGACAGCTGGGCAGCAATGAAGCAAAAGCAATGCATGTGCTAGAGGTCACACCAGAGGATCACACAGGATGATGGTCGCACAAGAAAGGCCACCGGCAGCACTCCATGCAAAATTCAGGCTAGATCCCACCAAGGAGGAGGTGGAGAGTTTTTCAGATGAAGAAGGGAAGTGGGATGAGGCATAGGGAAGGCATTTCAGGCAGAGAGGGCAGAACCTGCAAAAGTGCTGAGGCATGGGCCCCTCGTGAAGCCCTGCCCACTCAGAAAGTGTGAGCACAAAGTGTGGGCCATGAGAAACAGAGCTGAACGAGCAGACAGAGGCCAGCCTGAGTCTGCAGTCCCCAAGAGCATGAAGCAGGGGACCATCCCGATGAGATGTAGGGGATGAAAGAGCCACTCTGGTGGCCCTAAAACCAGTAGCTGGTGTCTTGATACGAAGAGGACACAGACATATACAAACACAGCAGAGACAGGGAATCAGAAGCAAGGATCAGATGCATAGACCAAGGTCCACCAAGGACTGATGCAGCCCCCAGAGGTGGGGACATGGGCAGGGGGTGGTTCCCTTCTGTGAGAGAATGATTTCTGTTGTTTCAACCCAGTTTACTGCACTTTGTTAGGCAGCCTTCCCAAACCTCTGAAATGTGGACCGTGTTTGCCTGCAGGTCACAAGTGCAAGAGAGCCCTCTGAACACGGCAGGAGTCCCCAGCACTTCACCTGCAGGTGGCCCCCACCGCACCGCCAGGTGGAAGGGAGAGGAGAGGCAAGGCGTGGACGGCGTCAAGTGAGAGCTGACACTTGAAGCTGGGGAATGCAGCCTGCAGGGCACCTGCGCCTGCGATCAGCACACTGGCCAGCCACCAGCTCTGCCCCTCTTGTGCCACTCCTTATAGGACTATTTTAGAAATGCCACGGTCACAGCTCACTCCCCCGCCCCTGTACTGGGGCTGACTCTAAGATTGCGTTCACAGCTGGGGTCTGCAAGGTGAGGCAAGTTATGAACCAGAGCCTCTGTGCCAAAACCAGTTACCCTCCCTGTGACCCAGGGCTGGGTTGCAGCACCCACCAAGTGCCCAGACTGGTTCCGTGACATGAAACCCAATGCACCTGCTAGATTCTCCTCTTCCCGCTCCTCAGGACAAAACAAGGCACCAGTGGCTCTGCCTGGACTTCTCCCTCCCTCTGAAGCTGTACTCAGCTCAGGGAGGGAAGCCAGAAGCCAGAGAGGCTACAGGGAGCCCAGGACCCTTGTCATCCCAGATCCATTCTTGGGCAGGCCCTATAAGCCAGTCTGTTCTCCTTTCCTGCTGCTTAAAGTCTTTTTGCCTGCCTCGGGTAAGATGACCACATCCTACACTGGAGTGCCTGAGTTTCATAGCCAGCAACTGATTCCTGCTTCCTGCTTCCTGCCAACGTAGACCCTGGGAAGCAACAGTGACGGCTCAAGTGATTGCCCTGCCACTCATGCGAGAGACCTGAATTGAAGCTCCAGGCTTCAGCCCCAGTCATTACAGAAAACTGCAGTCTCTCCATCTGTCTGTCTGTCTCTTTCTCTATGCCTCTCAATTAAAGATAAGAGCCTTTGGCCTGACCTAGAGGCAGTATATTGGAACGAACTTGAGCCTCAGAATTATGAAAAACTGGCCTGAGTCCCACCCAACAGCTCCAGGATCTACTTCCTCTTCTACAAAGCGGGACTTCACAATACTCAGTTCACAGGGCTGTGGGAGCATCAAGTGCAAATACGTCTAGCACGGAGGACTCTGCAGTGATGTTCACTGGCTCACTCCTGAGTGTGTGGCCCTAGAGGCAAGTAGCAGCCTCTTGAGCCTGCACATAAAAGACAAACTGTGCAGCTGACAAAATCATCTTCCAGCATCTCACCTTCGTCAGCCTCTCCCTCACTCTTGTCACCCAAACACCCCTGTGTTTTCCTATGTTGTTCAGGGGCACAGAGCGGTTCAAGCCGCTGCCTGCAATGCCAGCATCCCATATGGACACTGGTTCAAGTCCCGGCTGATCCACTTCCGGCTCTTTGCTAATGACCTGGGAAAGCAGCAAAGATGGTCCAGGTGCTTGGGCCCCTGCCACCCACATGGGAGTCCCAGATGAAGCTCCTGGCCCCTGGCTTCTGGCTCCTGGCTTTGGCCTGGCCCATTTGGGAAGTGAACCAGTGGATGGAAGATCTTTCTCTC